GGGCGTGAAACTTCAAAACACACCATTTTATAATGTTTTTAAAATATTGCAATCTCTTTTATTTCGTCATTATTTACGTTGATTTAAATTCTCCGGAAATTTAGTTTGAAAATCGAAATTACTTTCAAAATTCGCCGAGTGAAAACTTGCCATTTTTTATTCGATGCGACGCTGCAATTATCCGTTATTATCCGCGTTTAAAAAATTTTATACAGTAATAACGGGACCAGGCAGTTAGATCGAGTCTTTTTGTAAGGGCTTATTAAACAAAAAACAGTTAGGTATAAATAATTGATTTTAAAATGTATACGAATGCAAATTTTTCTGTTCCGACTTAACCGAGCCATAATTTCCTCGTTTCAATACATATTCTCACGGTTTACGAATTCGTTTCGATCGGTGATGATCTGCATTCTGTTAGCAATCAGCGACCAGTGAGTTAGTAGAAACGAATTTTTGAAATTTCCACCTGCTTATACATATCGCGCTGTAACTCGCGAAACTTTTTCCCCAGTAGCCGCCAGACCGTGCATCGATTTGAACGCGACGATCAACCACGTTCAAATTGGTTTTTATGATCTTCCACTCGAATAAATCGTAAATTCATTCCCTCGAAACGACGATGATCGACTGAATTTAAAAAACCGAGGATTCGATTTATCGATCGCCCGTAACAATTACCAGTTCGACTGCCCTTTGGGTACCATTTGCATATTGCACTCGTGTTTTAAATTGAATTATGTATTTTTATTGTATGCAAATCGATTCTTCTCGCCGTTCCGCGTACGATCAATAAAATGTTACGAGATATTTTATAGAAAGTATCCCACATTTTTTCGTTCGTACTCCTGCAAGTAAAAATAAAACTAAAATATCGCGTAACAAAGAGACCGTAAAGGTTCAAATGGATTCGCATAATTAATTATATTCACAAAGTATTCGTGTTTTTGCATAAAAATTCTGGAAGAAAACGGTGTAACGTTAGTTAAAGTTTAACAAGTTTACGAGCAATCTCGATCGAGTCGTCCAACTTCAATTTAAATGTAATTTTCTAAAGAGCCACGTCATTTGCGTGACATCGGATGTTTTTCTATCAAAAGGAGTGACGCGAAGTAAGTGATGAGGATTTTAAATAATCCAGTCACAGTGATCCCGTGATAAATCGATCCACGTCTTTCCAGCTTCCGTCAGATTTTTATTTTCGAACGAAATCCGATTAAATGTACATTAAAAATATTCTAGAATTTTTCCTTTTCTAAGGGAGCGTCAGATACTCGAAAAATCTATTTAAAATTATTTAATACTGTTTTATATAGTTGGTATAAGATGCAGTTGAAGATTTGCTCGAGTGAAACTTTAATCGTACGGTATTGGAATAGAGATTTCGGAAATTCCATCGACCCAAATACTAACGCGAACACTCAGAATATGGTAGAACGTGCGTAGCACGATGATGCTCCAAGTTTCAGAATTCTGAATATAGAGGGTGAGTCATGCAAATGGAACGGGTTATATCTAAATTTCGGCAAGAGATAAAGAAAAACGTAACTGCATGGAGAAACGTTGAATGAAACGAACGTTGATTCTCTTACGGCTTTTTTCTACTTATTTATTTATTTATTCACGGGATTAAATTAGACCCATTAGCAAAGAAAGAGATGCAAGTGTAGAAGATGGTTACATAACAAAGACGAACAGGAAAAGAAAATTGAATGTTATCAAGTACGAGACTGTCTGTGAATAATTACAAGGAGATACCAAGTAAAGAACATTTAAACGATAGAATCGAATATAAGGGTTATAGTTACATTCTTCGATACTAATTCTCTTTTCTTAAACATACTTTAATTTTAAATTCTTGTCGGTCGATTATTGTTACGTCAAACTTTGTAACTTTTTCGTTTCCGTATTGTGCAGTCCACGATGAAAAGAAAATTTCGCTAGGTTTCATCGTACTTTCAGTTGCATAACGTTGCAATAGAAATGTAATTTTGTACTCGTATCTAACTTTAAGGGGGTATTGATGTCTAGATTGTCATTGTTTCTGACTTTTTCTTTTAATAATAGGTAGGCTGTTTTCTATTGAGATTTTGCAGATTTTCATAAAAAAATATTAAAAATTCTACGAGTTATACTATTATACTTTTTCTTTAAATTTGTTTTGTTAAACTGACTTCCATGATATTTCAAGATCTAGCAGACCGATTGGCTTCAAATTTTACACACGCCTTTATCGTTGAAATTAGAGATTTTAAAAAATATTTAGTTAAAAAATAGAAATTCGAAACCTGAAGCGTCGTCGTTCCTTTATTTATCGAGATTTCGACTCCATCCTAGTTTCTGCTATAACTACACCCTTCCTAATTAATAATAAATAAATAAATAAAGTATACTTTAACCTGACTGGAATCGTGTTAGTCAGTGGAGCACATTCTTCAAAACCGCCATTAAACAAGAAGTAGTATAACTCGTACAATTTTTAATATTTTTCGATGAAAAAAATACTGTACATGCTTATAAGATGATTAAATATATCTGCAAAATTTCAGTAGAGAATAGCCTACCTACCATTAAAAAAAAAAATCATAAAGGCCGAAAAAATGAGAGTCCGGACAGCAATAGCCTCTTAAGGACGTGGTCGGGATATTACTCAACAGAGATTGTTTATCATTACTTTTTATTCGAACGGTACGCAATAGAGAGAGCTTTTTCGGTGCTACAGAAAAAAGTAAATGTACTCCTCGAACGAAAGGGATATCGCGCAACAAGTAGTTCGCCTCGACGTTTCAACCAAGTAAAACTTGTTGATTACGAACGAATCAAGTAGCAAACTATGGAAACCACGAGGGTGCAAAGAAAAGCAAATCGAAAGTCGAGGATCAAAGTTGTTCGTTCGAAGCCAAGCTATTTAGATAAAGATCAAATTTTAGTATTTATTGGTCAGGGAAAATTTTCCTTATGCTGTATGATAAAAAGAAACGCGCGATAAAAAAATGTTTTCCTTCGATCGACTGGAATTTGAACTCCCGCGCAAAAAAGGCAGCGATCTCGAAACAACAGCTTCAACCAGTTACGCAACGAGTTCGTTTGAAAAATTTGTTTACATTAGTAAAAATTCAGAGCTCCATGAAACGTTGAAAATTAGTAAACTAGTCCAGTTATTAGACAATATGCAATGGAACGTTTTTAATATTTCGCGAATCTTCATTTTCCTTGACAATAACGATGGAATTAAGAAAAGTCTATAAATAATTCATGAGTAAAATATGAAATACATTGACCGTGAAAATTATCTGAAGTATTTTATCGTAAATAATAACGTCCGTAAAAGTTCTTTTTCAGAGTATAATTGACATTTCAACTGGAAAGTCACCGTTTTGTCAAAACAAGTAGGCATAAAACCGTGGTATTCGGGAGATCAAGATTTGTTTTTTATTTTTAAATTAAGAAAATTGACTATTTCAGGAGTAGGGTGTGCAAACAGAATATTGTATCAAATTCGTTGACGTCTAGACAATCAAGGATTTGTTTAAATGCCACGCTCGAGTTACAAAAGCAACCAAACGTGATTTGATTAATTATATTCCGTTCCTCGATAATTGATTCTAATTATGGTGCACCGAGGTCATAATACAATACGCATATCAATGAAACGTCAAGCCGGAATGGAGCAATTTGCCACAGAAAATAACTAATATTAAAAAATATTGATATTTATGTGAACAAATACGGGACAGGACTTTCCATTTCTTTTACGTTACGTAAAATCGATCACTTTCTTAATATTCATCGGTATTTATGAAGTTACGAATTTAATTATCTCCAAAGTTAAGAAGACCCATCGAGACTTTAAAAGTGTACAGATTACGGATGTAAAAGGCGATCGGAAACTTTCTCACTTCGAACGTACATTTTACGAGAACTCCTACTCGTCGTTCTAAAAAATTCAAATTAAAACTTCTATTTGTCCGTTCTCGTTGGGAGCTCTTATTTAATAAAGTTCCATTTCAACCGTTGCTACAGATTCTTCCTATTTTTTGAACGTTTCTTGAAATCTACGTCATCGTGAATAGCGTTTCATAGATTGTAATAATCTCGGGAATTATTAGTTTCAGGATCTATAAATTTCAGCACTTTCACTCCCGAAATTGTAAACAAAATTTTCTTTTCAAGATCCAAGTTCACCATTTTCTAATAATTTAAATTTATTTTATAATACTACAATAAATTTTATCCAATTAACAAAATAATATTTTGATTATTTGTTAATTCATTTATTTTATTAACACATAACAAAAATTAATAATAATTAAAAGGATGTTTAATCTTACAGTTCAATCATATTACGTAAGACGTAAGAGCTACACGATTATTTTTCATACACAACTTTGTTGCATTAATGTTCTTATAATATAAATACATGTCGATTAAGTGATATACACGAATTAATGCAAATTAAAAGTAAACATTTTACTTCGCAACTATATTCTGGAACAAATATTCATCCATGATAAACATAAAATATTTCCTAAATATTTAAAAATAAATATTCTATTTCTAATATGGAATAAAGATTCATTTAATATCGAGAAAAACATATTTTTCTCGTAACATGAAATAGATATTTCCTGCATATTTAAAAAAAAATATTTGTTACTTGATATAAAATAAATATTGTATGTATATTTGAATATTAAAAAAAGATTGAATCTCTTTTTAATATAATATGAATGTGTATACAATATTTTTGTGCTACTAGGGTATCTTACGTTCACCTCGAAGCAAAGCAAGTATGTGCCTATCATTTTTATTATAACAGCATACTTTGTATTCTTTTCTCTGTATAGAAATTGCACAGGAAAAGGGATTGCTTTTACCGACCGAACCGAGTGTAATTGGAGTTATTCATCAACCTTGAAATATCTCTGTACGACTGCAGAAATACGTTACACTGGCGCAAGTTGCACGTACGTAGTACTCGCGAGTGTAGCCAAAGATTCACTGGCTCTTGCTGGCCAGTCTCTCATTTCCTTCTCTCCCCCACTAAACGGTTCAACGACTCCGTGGTGCAGAAGACTTTATAAAACCTTGCTACAAGGCGACCAGTAGGACCAGTTCGCACCGTTGCGTTGCTTCGACAAGTTTCTATCCGATCGTCAGATGGCGTGCACAAGTCCCGTGGTGACCGTGAAACAAGGCCAACTTCGCGGCGTGGTAGACGAGAACATTTACGGTGGACAACTGCTCGCCTTTCGTGGGATACCGTACGCGAAACCGCCGATTGGACCGTTCAGATTCAAGGTGAAACGTTATTGATATTGTCGATTATGAATCGCCTGTCATCCGCGAGTTTCACCAACTGGAATACCAACTGGAAAATATGCCGAGTGTGTTTAATACGAGTCGATAGCGGATAGTTTCGGCATAGTTGCCTCTAACTTTCAAATATTTTCCAACAGGCCTCGAACGATAAAAAAAATGTTCGTATATTTTACAAACGAAATGGTCGAATTCAAAATTTGAATCTATATCAATAACAGTACATAACAGTTTTATTTTGTCGATAGAAAAGAAAGAGTACAAATTGTTTGTACCTCGATGCTAATTTGTGGAATAGAGTCGAAGTAACAATGTATTATTATATGTATGTATTATATGGTGCCATTACCGATGAAATAATATTCATAAATGAACGATCGTGGTGTACTCTTATTTTAAATTGGTATCTGCAGTAGTGTATACTTTTCCGCCCCAGCGATGATGTTGGAACATCTGTTGTGCATTCTGATATATCACCGATTTCTACATATCTCACACAACCGTGCAGTTACAAGGTTACGTTTGCACGCTGTAGATCCACACGTAACATCACGGATACGATCTACGGCACAGTAAATTGTGCTCTATTAGACTTACACTTGTATAAAATACGAAGACGTTTAGGATGAAACAGAGAATGATTGTCAATAATTGCAATGTCAAATAGCCACAGTCGTAATATGTATACTAGTTGCACTTGGAACTGTCTCGATTTATAATCATTGTCAGAACTTATACATTCTTTCATCATTACTCGATTTTTTTATAGCACTATTACGGTTGGTTTACATCGTAAATCTGTTTTACGATTCTTGGTGTAAATAAAACGACAACTGATAGAGATATGATCTTGGGGAAATCTATTTGAATAATTGCAGGAGAATTAATGCCAACAGATGTCTCGATTCGAGAGAAAAAACGTTGAATTTTGCAACCAACAATTTAACGATAATCGGTATTATAATGTAAGCGATAAAGTATGGCGCTCCGCCAATCTTGCGAATACGTGTTTAAATATTCAAAAGGAACGTTAATAACGGTTGATTCGTCGAACATATCGTTCAAGCCCATAACACTAGACATTTTTACAAAACATTTACGCAATAAAGACAGTGCATAGTACAAAGATTAGATAGTAGTTTTCAACTAATGTTTATTTATCAGAGTCTGAAGTTAAGAACGATTAAAATTTGTAATAAACTTAACTTTGAAAATTCAGGTTCGATTGTACTTTATCGAGCCATTTTGTAAAATCAATATCACGCATAGATATTGTTGCAATAAATTTTTATTTATCCTCGATTAAAAGTATTATTGAACCATTCCAACGTCTTCTGTAAATAAAGCCACCGAGCTAATTAATAAATAGAATAATATTATTTTGCTCCAAATTATTACTACACTGTCATCATTATTTGCTGATAAGAGAAGGAATTTGATAAGGGAGATTTATAAACCCGGAAATCCCGAGATATTAAAACACTGTTCAAATAGAATATTTCTATTAAACCATTGTTCCTATGTCATAGTACGATTTAAAGGTGTGAAATTATCTTTAAAAATATGCACATTTTTCCTTCTCGTGAAATATTTCCAGCGAGGACAGAAATATTGACAAAAGTTGACGCAAACGTTGCATTCTTTTTCTTTAAAACTACAAAACTACGTAGAAATAATTATCTTCAACCTATTTTTCAAGTAACCTCCATCATCAATTTTTAAATTTACATTTTTGAATACTTTGCAAATTCATTCTACTTTCGCCATTTAAATTACAAATCTTTTGTCATGAAATTTCAAAATGATTCGGCAAAGATATTTAAATTATTATTTATACAAATTTTAGACACCATTCAATAATTTCAGCAAGATAATATCAAACAATTACATCGATGATAAAGCATGTTAAAAGTAATCAACGACACGAATCCGAACAACAGATTGTGAACACTCGCGATTCTTTCGTTTCAATTACTTAATTACATGATTATAAATCGCATCTAACGTATCGATTGATTTTACAACTTCTGCGATAAATAAGATATTGCGTGTACGTTTTAATATTCATTGATGCCGATAACCACCTTCTCGCACTCTCTCATTTAAATAATGCGAACGTATTTTCCCGATCATTACCGTTATAGAGCGCCGGGAATGATTAATTTTTCATTGTTCGATCGCAGACTGTACCCCTTTTCACGATGTATGTTAATGTAAGAAACATACGCAAACCGTGGAAAAAGTAATTGTCGTAATTAAACACGACAATTACAATATTTCATTCCGCACATGTGCGCATCTTCTGCATACGTTTATCATATTTCATATTCGCGATTGTCATGTATGCATAAAACCCGTAGTCCCGGTATTAATACAAATAATGTAAATGCGTCCTTTGGTGAACATAATCTTCCTGAAAAAGTAGCCAATTCGAATTAAATATTCTTGTAGCAGTTTTCTTTTTTTGTAAGTGTATATAAGTGCATATTTACAGATCTTACAGTTATTTAAGGGAGAAAACCACTGCGAAGACAAAGGGAATTTTCAAGAATTTTTTTTTCATAAATGTTTGAAGCGTTATGTATATTAAAATTTCGACATCTACCAAATCTTCCGTAACTTTATCATTTTTGTGAATTTTACATAAATATTTTTTAAGAGATAAGAAAAAATTGGATTTTTTCAATCCGTCACAGTGGTTTCCCTTGAACTCGATGAGCCAAAGTACTAAAACTGGTATCGAAGCGTTTGTTTTTGTATCTAGGATTGCTTGCCCCCCGAGCCATGGACCGGAATCAGAGACGCTTCGGAGTTCGGCGGGAATTGCGCTCAGATCGACATCATGTTGCACGAATTAGTTGGAGGTGACGATTGCCTGTTTCTGAACGTGTTCACCCCGGTGAATAAGGCACCCTCGAAGCGTGTTGTGATGGTGTGGATACACGGCGGTGCCTTTATGAACGGGTCTGGCGACAGCACAATTTATGGGCCCGATTATCTCATCCGCAAGGACATTGTTCTGGTCACGATTAATTACAGAGTTGGCGTCTTGGGTGGGTAGCCGTTATTGGTATCGGCGATGGTGTCATTTTCCCATGAATTTTATCGATGCATCGTCTCGTTAACTGTCGCTCCTGACAGAGACAGACTGTACGCAGACGATAGCGTTGGCTATTTGCTATTACGGTTCTTTTTCCAATCGATCGTATCGATAAACAGTTTAACGATTTAACTTGATCAACGTTGAACGTTTCGACCATTTTCGGGAGCAATAATAACTACGTCGGTAGCGTAATTTAGCCGTAGAATTATTAAATGATTTTAACTTGGTACTTATTTCGGAATTGAAAATGGTCCAAACCTAGAACTGAAATGTTGCATCATATTGTTTAATCGACCGTGAATTGTTGCAGGTTTCCTTAACTTGGAGCGAGAATCTGCGCCAGGTAATCAAGGACTGAAGGATCAAGTAATGGCTCTGAAATGGATCAAGGAAAATATCTCGAGTTTCGGGGGAGATCCTGATAACGTAACGATATTTGGAGAAAGCGCTGGCGCAGCGTCGGTCCATTATCTCACTATATCACCATTGGCTCGAGGTTCAATTCGCTACGTTTTTATACACCCAGAAGCCCTCTTGTTGTTCACTGCAGATATTTCGAATCGTCCAAATATCGTCAAAGATACCTAACCCTTTTATGAAAGGTTTATTGTATTTTTTCGTCGATTTTCCCGTATTGTGTTCGTAGAAAAGTTTGCCCCATCTTCTTTGTCGCAGGATTGTTTCACAAAGCAATATCACAGAGCGGAGTGGCGACGAACCCTTGGGCCATGGCCATGGAAAACCCAATACCGAGAGTTCTCAAGCTGGCAGCGAAACTCGGCAAAGAGACAACCGATCCTGAAACGGCGCTCGAGTTCCTCAGGACTGTGGACGCGCTAAAACTCGTAACCGCCGACAACCAGTGTCTCACGAAAGAGGTAAAGCTCATCAGGTCGCACAAAAGCGTTTCATTCCTCAATCTTTTATCGATTCTTTATCGATCGGGTGGTCCTCATTTTTCGAGAATTACGCGAAACTTATGGTCACGCAACGTTCGCAACTCGAGTATTCCGATAGTTGGCGGAATTTCATTCTTTTATTTTTCATAAGAGAGCAACTAGATTGCTGTTTTTATTCGCTGGAACCACGATAAAAAAGATCGAAATTTACAGTGTGAAATGAGAAGAAAAACGAAATTTCAAACATTAATAAGATGGCGTTTCTTCTAGTCTCTCTTAAGATAAGTAAAAGAAGAAATTGCGGTTGATGTAATTCATTTTTATCATATTGAATACTGCCAATTTTGTGCAGAATTTACTTGATCAACTATACACATGTATATGTGCCATTTTGTTCTATGATCTTTCGCCATATTTTGAGCGATTTCTTTACGATAAAACGTATTGCTCGATTTATTTCTTCGGCCCTTTTGAACGATCGTCTAATTTTTTAGGAAACAGTCGTAAGAAAATTGCAATTAGAAATGATTGGATGCCAAATGGTATCAAACTTGCTCCGTTCGTAATTTGAACCACAGGATACCATAACGTTTTACCCGCTAATTGGACCTTTTCCGTTGTAAATTATTATACAATCGAGCATATTTGCATCGATATTGCCTGCATAAAACATGTAGCAGCAAGAGTTTATGGCGGTGTTTGATTAAAACGAAACTCAATTAATGTTTGATGTTTAATGCATTGAACGCGAAGATTATGAAATGTTCTTAAATTCGTTTTTAACTACGACGCGAACATATTGCAAAAATTTCAATAAAGTACTAACGCGATTACGGGGCTACGTTAAATTTTTTTACGTGGCTTTGTATTAAATGCAACGTCAGGCGCGATGATGGTTTAATTCCTTATTGCCTAATTTGTATTTTACTTTCGAGAACATTGCGTGACGGAACGATTGATGAACACAAATCATAAGATTCGATCGAACGTAGATCAGAATCGTTATATGATTTCAATATTAATATCGAATCGCTTTCAAGCACATGAAAGGGATACCGTTCGTAACATTATTAATTGTAACTTATTTAGTATTGTATAATGGACGTGCCAAATGGGCAAAGTCCCAAAATTAGACAGTTTGGGATGTTTCCATAATTGGAAGCTACGCGCCAATTACATTAACGTGTTTTTGCTACTTTTTTTTGTTGTTTCCCTACTACTTTTCTACGGTTTCAATAAATAGCGAGTTTTGCCAAAACAAATCATGAATCTCTGTTACATGTCAAATGTTGTAGGAAAAATACATTCTATTCGGAGTGTTTGGCCCGTGCATCGACGATAAATCTCCGAATCCATTTCTGCCGCAACATCCATCGATTCTCATGAAAGCGGCTCCGAAACTGCCCTATTTGCTCGGTTACAACAGCAACGAAGGAAGTTTGCTGGTTCCCTGTAAGTTCATTTTCCCTTTCATCGAGCTCCGTTACACTTTTTTGCCGTTCCAAACGATTATAAAAGTTTTCGCAGGGAATACAATTTTAAAAAACAAAGTTCTATCGTTCGATGAAATATATGTTACTTTTTATATTTCGTTAAAAATTATTTCTTTCGAACAACTCGAAGACGAGATTTTTCTAACGTGTACGTAATTCCAATTTTATTCGACCATCGAATACAGTACTGCAAAACCACATTGATCCAACGTAATTGGGAGGAGAGGTGATCCCGATTAAGATAAGGATAATCTGGATCAGCGAACTATACGTATAAATTCCTTTGTTATTTTTCTTTCCGTCACTCACAAAATATCAGGCCACTAATGGTGATCCTTTTAAGGGGCAATTCTGCAAGCCAAAATAACGCGAAAATCTAGACGAATAACGGAATTACGGGCTGAGGCTTTTTTACTTTACGATTTACATTAATTTGTGAAAGTGGAATAATAATTTTTTATTTTCTCTGGCACATATTTGTAATCTGTCATCGTTCAAAAAATTTCAATCGATTTTAAGAGAAATTATTTTTTACTTTAAAATCGTGATAAAGATGAAGTGGACGAAATCTTAGGGTTCTCGCGTATTTTAAGCAATTAGTAACTCGAACACAAAGCCTCTACCGCTATTTCGTCATGTTGATTTTCGTCTTTGAGCAGTAGAATTGGCCCCTTAAGGCGATTACCATTAATGACCGAAAATCCTCTATACTAAATGCACTTGATCCTCGTTCTGCTTGCTGTATTATCGAACTAAAATATTACGGAATTTAGAGTAGTTGTAAATGCATAATTAATTTACGAAGTAACGAAATAAATAAGAATTTATTACTATAGATTTTATTGTAAAACTAGAAAAAGGCTGACTATAACTTTTGTTTGATGACGTTCCTCGTTTGATCTTCAATTCATTAGCGTTTCGTGTTTCAGTGTTGAGGATCGTGGACGACATAGAGAAATGCAATGCGAATTTCGAGATAGTCGTCCATCCGCATGTATTGAAAGCGTTAAAGAAAGACGACATGTCTGCCACGGATTTGAAGCGTATCTATTTTGGCGATCAACGGGTCGCTGCGAACACGATGCAAAATTATGCGGATTTCATGAGCGATATGATGTTCCTTCAGGATATTTTCGAAGTGGTTAAAGTTCTCGCCGAGAAAGACTCCCAGGTCACGTATTTGTATAAATTCACCTACGACACTGGCAACTCGCTAATGAAACAGAGATTGAACGTCACTCTGCCAGGTATGAATGTACATAACATAGTATCCATCCAACTTTCGTATTTTCTGTTTTTTTTTCCAAATGTCGCGTTACAGTTAACGTTAAATATCTCTTGATTAATCGTCCGCGTCTAAAAGTACGTATCAACAGTTTCCGTAGAGTCGGAGATAAACGACAACGATCAATTTCTAGAACAGCAATCTTCCACTAACTGCTGCAGCTCAATCCTGAGATAGAAACGAACTGGCAAAGTTTCAGTGGTTGAATGCTGCCCTAGAAATATAAACTGTTCAAGATAAAGAGACAGAATGTCCAGTTAATTCTTCTGTACATTCGTATACATATATTTAGTGGGAAGAGGCTGGTGCATTGTATCTGGCGATAAATGTAAAGCACAGGGAAAATGTTGCGTTTAATGCGAACGCGAATAAATGCGTCGACGGACTCGCATATTTTTTAATTTAATTTGTTTACAGGAACAACGCATGCGGAAGATCTGACTTTTCTGTTCTTCCCGCACTTGATGAAATTAATGAACTTGAGGCCACCGGAACCCGGAACCGAAAAGTACAAAGTCATAGAGTACTTCACCGAAATGTGGACCAACTTTGCGAAAACTGGGTATGCTGCTCGTGTTTCAGTGTAGATAGGATTTGCTCGTGGAAATATTTCAGTTTTTAGTATTTTGTCCGAAACTATTTGAAATTTTTCTCAGCCCTATTGGTTCTTTTCATAGATTTATTATATTAAAACCGTGAAACTATGTCATACATATTTATTTTTTTGTTTTAGAAATCCAACTCCAACGACGACAGAGCTGATCTCAACCATTTGGAAACCGGTCGGGAATGGCGACATATATAATTATTTAGAGATCGATAACAAGCTTCAAATGAAAGTTGGGAAACGGGAGGAGCACACCTGCGACTGGAAGAGAATGAAGAATAAATTATGATGACTACTCCTCGTTAGATATTATTTGTACATACGTATTACTGCAACTTTATTATTAATTTTAATAATATAATTAAACACCTTCGTAAAATTCTACTTGAATGAAATAAATATAAAAATTTATATATTTTACTGTCTCAAATATTCATAAATTGTACTGTCCAAAATCTGCAAATTTACCAAACATAATAGATCCGGTGTTCTCGAATTTAAACAAACGTATAATAGTATATGTAGGATACAGATTAATATCCGTATGCACTTCGAACGCGATCGAGCATCGGGTTGCCTGTCGCTAGGGGCGCTCCAAAAATAAGCAAGAGCAAATGATTATTATTTATTCTGAATTTAAAATTACATATAAATGAAACCAGGCCATCACGAGCAAAAAGCAATGGTCTAAAAATATTTTAAAAACTTTGAAAATCGGTGATGTCGTTATTTTGGTAAACGATTACTACGTTGGCCACTAGATGACACTTTTGTAGGCTTTGCGATCATTTGTAATAATTAAATAAGTACATTTCGAAAATTGTAAAAGACCATCAACTACAGCATTGTGTGCACGATGAAACACGGGGCCGGCTTCAAATAAATCTAAACCGGTGCAACAGAGGTTTTTAACGTCGACAATTAGCTAAAAGTGATTTTATCGACTGAAGATACGGCAATAAAAAAGTTTATGCGATTATGAAATTCACGTTTAAGAAAGATAGAAAATTTTAGATTGATTTCATTGTATACGACAAGTATGGTTAGAAAAAATGAAATTTAATGAAAAATATACGCTACACATTTTCGCGATTTTTCGCTGAATGTTTTAATTTTTGTAGAAAAGGCCCCGTGCTCAAGTTTGGCACACAGCCCGGCAAATGTCTGCGTCGGGCCTGAAGGAATGCATTAAAGGGCAAACACTACGCTTCCTACGGTAATCGATTGTGTGAAACGGAGAAAGAAGGAAGAGAGATTGGATTCATGCCAGAAGGCTCATACGGTCGCGCATGCGCAGTGGTTCGCGTCTCGATCAGTTCCACGGGACGAAATGATCGCGAAATTTACGTGAAAGTTTTTACAAATAACGCGTACCGTAATTAAACGAAGCTTCCGTCTGTCGATCAACGATCGAAATAGCAATGGAACAATAATTCCGACAAGCTCGTAACGTCGCTCTCCGGGAACGCGTACGACTCGAGTGAACCTAACCTAACTTAAACCGGCTGGGTAAATACATAGTGACGTTTGAGATTAGTCAACGCTGATCAACTTCATTTTGTAGCAAGAATAGACCCGTCCGTGTTTTGTCACGAACTGGTCGGTCGTCACGATATCTCCAAGTATGGGCAGCTAAAATTCGCCGTGAAGTGTTACAAAAATACAACAAATTCCTGGCTGATTTATACAAAAAATCGAAAGTGCTTGACGACTGTAACAAAACATTGGACGAAATTCTGTTCGCTGTTCATCGGCTATCATTTCTGAGGTAGATAAAAAAGTGCTCGGACATCTTGTTCTTTGGTTATGAACCGTACAAGCGACGGGTTTTATCACGTTTCGAGCAACGAATTGTTTTCGTTGTACACATACGTTAGTAAAGCTTTCGAGTGTTACGTTGATTTCGTCATACGTCGTGTATATAGCGAACGACAAAGTAGTACCGCGATCTTTATCACAACTAATCAGTAGATTTAACGTACAGATGATTCTTTTTGGTACTTTAACGCGCATAGAACTTCATGCGATGAGAAACATATTTGAACAACGAACGTTAAATATCGTATAGGAAAGAAATTTTTATATTCTTGGACAGTGTTTTTAAAGATTAAAAAAACATTTGTTTGGAACTGTACTTTGGATTCTCTGTGTCGTTTTACGTGACAATATGAAATGACACTGATACACCCCACTCCATTACCATTTCTTTTTGTTTTGGTTAAAGATCGTGTCACGATGTACCCAAATATCAACATTTCGCGAGTTACCGGTCCTTTCATTATACAGGGTGTTCGGCCACACATGGACAAATTTTAATCAAGAATAAATCAAGAATACTAATTTGTTGATGGAGGCTTGGTTAAAAATTTATCAACGTTTAAAGTTCCGCCCGTACTGAATTTTATTCTAGAAAGTGGGTAGGATTTCGGGGGTAGGTCTATTCACCAAAAATTATTGCAATTGACCCCTGCAATCGAAAATAATTTTTTCAGAGTGATTTGAAACTTTTCAATTTTGCCGAAAGATTTGGGCACCCTACCCTACCCCCCTGTCGATTTTTCTTAAAATATCGTTTTTCATTTTTAATAATATTGTTTAACGCCCTACAGAAAAGTTGTCCAATACTTTTTTGTAGGTACTCATGAGCACTATATCAGAAAAAAATTTCATTGAAATGTATTCACTATTATAGGAGTTATGGCCGTTTGAAAATTGGACCATTTTTATAGGGGTTTTCTCACTTTGCAGGGTCAAGGAACAACTTTTTGAATATTTTTGGAATTTCCACGTATTCTCCATCAAAATACGCGTAGTTTGCCTTTTTGAACATTAAAATCGTCCAATCCGTTGAGGAGTTATGATGTTTCAAAGATTCGAATGTAATTTCGGGGAACCATTTCAAGCCATGGATTTATATTTTCGGTAAGGAATTTTTTTTCTCGAAAATGCGTAAGAATTCGGGGGTATGTCTAATCACCAAAAATGATTGTAATTGAGCCCTGCAACTAAAAATAATTTTTTTTAATAAGATTTAAAATTTTTAATTTTTTGAAAAATTTCACGCCTTGTCGAATTTTTTTCTCGAAAGTGGGTAGGATTTCGGGGGTATGTCTATTCATAAAAAATTATTGTAATTGACCCCTGCATCCAAAAATAATTTTTCTAGAACGATTTGAAATTTTTTAAATTTTGTAGAAAAATTTCACACCTCGAATTTTTTCCTCGAAAGTGGGTAGAATTTCGAGGGTATGTCTAATGAACAAAAATGATTATAATTGACCCCTGCGACCGAAAATAATTTTTCCAGAACGATTTGAAAAATTTGAATTTAATTGTTAACTTTTTAACGAAGCCTCGGTCAAGAAATTGATATTCTTGATTTTCGCCTTATTTTGGCCTCTAGAATCTCATTAAAATTTTCCCCAGGAGTGGCCAAACATCCTGTATACTCGACTGATTCCATATACCGACAAGTAAATATTAATTAAAAATCAATTGTTGATGCATTTTACAATTACCAGCTGATTCTCACTATCTGACCGATGCCTCTCTGTTTGATTTAATGTTTCATTTTTCTCGGCTAAAAATTACATTTGAAATAATTGTGCGAAGATGTAACAATGTACATTATTCTTAAAAAAAAGAATTAAGAGGCATTTTCGTATTCCTGGGAGGGAGAACTAGCAACTGTGCTATATTTACCACGTCAAAATCCGCAGTAAATCCGAAAGTACTAAACCACGAATGTTGCTACTGTACCTAATTACTTGCAACAAAACTGATTGTAGCATCTTTTCTGAATCATCATCGTGTATATACTGGTGTGACGTAATTACTCGTAACTAGCGTTTGTCCATCGATATATATGTATTTGATTAGAATCAAGTTCCACACCGCTATACTCTTCCAATAGTAGAAGCGAAATTACGTTCACTTTGGTATATTAATACTTCTCTTACGAATTGTCAAAGCTTTCTGAATTTAATTTAAATTAAAACTATTCAAAGGTCGAAATAAATGTTTGCATTATTATTAATTATACCTTGTATATCGAATATCAAATAGTAACCATAATTCTTAAACGCATCCATAGAACGGCACCTCCTAGTCACGGAAAAATGAATATCCAGACGCCTTATTTGGACGGCATTCGTGCCATAAGCGGCGCCACTCCCAGCGAGAAGTACAGATGGATAGCGAAACTGATAAAGGAACGAATATCGGAATGCAACAGTTTGGAAGAAATAGTCGAGTCGGAGAAGATCCCGCGTATATTGGTTCCACTGATACAAGTGCAGGCCGCTCAGATGCTGATCAAAAACGAACCAAACAATCTGGACAACTACGCGGCCATCGCCGAGGCTCTGAAATCCGAGGATGCGTCCGTGGTGAACAAAGCGTTACAAGCATCGAGCTTTTTCGATGGAAGCAACACGACGATCACGAACGTACGGTACTTTTTCGACCATCTGTTTCCCTACGTCTCCTTGAACACGAGAATACGCATTATAAAAACGTTGGCCATCCGTCTGGCGCCCAAGAGATCCACCCTGGCCGAAGAATTCTTTACCGCGGTTGCCACCACATACGGCCTCGATCAAGCGTTGCCGTTGCTACCAGCTTGCAGCGAGACTTTCATGTACAACGCGATCCTGGAGAGACGAATCGTCCTGAGCAGAAAGCTCGTGGACACGATCTTCCGGAAAAACCCAGACTTCATCGTCCGTTACTTCAGACTGAGCAAGCCAGAGACGGACCCTTACGTCAGGAACCTTCACCGTGTGAACATCTACGATTTCGGTGACTTCTTGGCGGCACTGATCAAGAAGAGATTGAAATCGTTCGTCGAACTGTACGAGATGCACGAGAAACTCCCTCCCGCCGTGCGCCTCAGCAACAAGGGGGCCGAGAACTTTCTGAAAAACGGCAAAGAGTACTTTCAACGTAAACCGAAGCTGTACATAAAATTGGTACCGCTGAAATTGATCACCGCGAAACGCATGGAAACGATATATTCCAAGCTGTTCCCCAGCAGCATCAAAGAGTTTTGCACGGATCAGATGTTGGACTATTTGGAGTACTATCCACACGACAGGAAGCTGGATCTGCTCGTCAAGTCTTATCGCGAGGCTTACGGGAGAAACATCTTGGACGACTGGCAAAGCGTGACCGTACAGGTGATGAGAATGCTGCCCGCCGAGGAGCGAATCAAACAAGCTAGGATCAAGATGGAGAAAGAGAGCAGTCCAGCCAGCACGGTGGATTACACCCACGTATGGAGGTGTTACCTGTCTACGAGCGAGACGATACCAATGATCAAGGAAGAGGTCTCGAAGACATCCGAGATGGAGAACAGAGCTTCCCTGCTCTGCCAAATGATATACTCGTGCAGGGTGAACAAGGACGATCAAGCTCTGTTGGAGGCTCTGACCTACTTCAGAGACAGGTTCAAGAACGAGCAACCTTGGTTCCTGTTGAAGGTGTTCGAGTGTCTGTTGAATCTTTACGATCTGCCGCATCTCAGCAGAAACCACTGGGCGGTTCTGATGGACATCATCGTGCGCGCGATCGTCAAGAACGATTTCATGACGTCGAGCACGATCAGCGAGAAAGTGCTCGAATCGGCTATTCATTTTAAAATCATCTACGACGAGCCGATAGATCAGTTCATACGCGCGCTCGTCGAGCTGAAGAGCAACAGGTATTCCGGATTTTGGAACATCCTTACAAAGTATCCCGAGTACGAAAGAACGTGTCTGGAGGCCTGTCTGACCGTCGTCTCCCAGTGTTACAATTCCAACGAGCCTCCTTGGAACACCGACAGGGATCGAATGCTGTACACCCTGTGCTCGTCCCTCTACAATTTCAACGAGACCCACGTGAACCATAAGCATAACGCTCGGGTAGAACGCATGTCCATTAAGAACTATCCTTGGCTGCTGAAGAAGGTCGAGAGGGTATTGACGACGAAGGACCAAAGCACTTACGTGCTCGGCGAGTTTCGATCCATATTGGAGAAGCACGAGAAGGACCTCTTCGATCGTCTATTCGCGGAAGAGAAAAAGAGCATCGCCGACATCGAGTCGGGCGAGGCTCTCGGATTGTTGAAGAAGAACCCGGAGGAGATCTTGTCCAAGTGGAAAGAGTACCTGAAGGCTTGCATGGGCACCTGGAGTCGCGAGAGCACCAGGCGTTTCGTCAGAGCGACTCGCTGGTACAACGACATACCCGCGAGGTTCGTGGAGCAGTGCCTCGAGAATCTAACGAAGAACAAGAGCGGCGTCTCGTTGGAGATCGTGGCCGTCCTCGTTCACGGTAAAACGTTCACGAAGATCATCGAGCCGCTGATACCCACGAAGAAAACGATCGACGTTCACAACGACGACGCGAAGAAGAATTACTCGTTGATCTACGATATCGTCAGTAGCGTCAAGTACGTGAATCCACCGGTGTCTTTGCAGCTCATTGGAAATCTCTGCGAGGGAGACTACCTGTCCCTAGCTCTATCGGCTCTGACCAACGTTTGCAGAAGAACCGCATTGATGGACGCGATCGCGTTCGCGAAAACGTTGATCGCTCAACGAGTAACCGTTCGTAAACACGGAATAAGACTGATGCGAATGCTGGCGCCGCGCGATCAGCTTCACAGCTTCCTCGTCTCGCTGTGCAGGACCGAGGAGCACCATTCGATCCGGGAGGTATTGTTCGACAAAGGTATCGAGCTGTTCCGCGAGGAACCAGGTCCGGCCACGTGGTCGTTGCTGAGCCAGATGGCCTCCACCGTCACGGCGAAGGACAAGGGCAGCTTCTCCGTGCTGATACGCACGATCTACTTGATCCCCGACGAGTACATCGTGGACTTTGTCAAGCTGCTGCTGAGAACGATAGACAGTTTCACGGAGGCCGGCGTCGAGCGTGAAACCGTCTCGACGTACGTGAAGGCGTTGCTCACGCAGATCAACGCGGCCGTTTGCAATCTTTTGCCGGAAGAGTTCACCGAGGAACTTCTGCGTAGGTTCCTCTTCAACTCGAACATGAGCGTCTCGCGAGCCGCCGGGCATTTCGTGCTCGAAGCGCATCTGCTGCCAGCCAAGGAAAAACTCGACTCGCGACTGAAGACCTTCTCCACTATCTTCGCGGAGGTCGTGAAGAACGGATGGAACGTGCCTCACTCGAAAAGGACGCACTTCTACCCGGTGAATCACGCCGTTCACAGCTTCGTCGATTACCTGATCAGAATGATTCCCTACGTGGACGTGGATCCCCGGCTCATCGACGGTATATTGAAGGCTTTCCTGAGCGTTCTGACGCCACAGATGGACGCCACGTCTTATTTGATGCTGGTCTACACGAGGGAACAGGTGTCCGTGAAAACGCCCCAGGAATTCGGGACGAAACTGGGCGAGAAGTTGCCCGATCTGGTCGACACATTCTCGCCGATGTTCCTCTCGTTCATGTCGAACACGATGCAATACTTGTTCAATCAAAACCTGTTTAAGGATTACGACAAGGAGGACGCGACTCTGGGCGTGATCGAGGGACTGATAGAAAATGGATCGATCGAGGCTACGCTGATGGCGGTGAAGATGTTGACTCCGTCCAAGTCCAAGGAGAACTTGGCCAGATACGACAAGCTAGTGACAAAGTTCGCGGATTACGATCATCCGGCGATCAGGAGTCTCTTGTGCGATATCATAAACAAAACCGGCTACGATGACATATCCGACATGTAAATTACGTTCGTGCGCGCAGAATTCGTGGCGGGGGCGTTCGCTCGACCGCCGGTTACACCCGATAAGCGTTTTTTAAACGGTTGGCATTTTTATTTTTATACGGATATAGGTATCACGTACGATTTAAGAGTTTCAACGAACACAGACAATCTCCGCGATTTATTTTGTTAACGGACATATTTTTCTACCGAAACGTGCGCTCAATGGTACGAGTCAACATTATTGTGATACGTACACACGTTACGAGGAGCGATACATACGTGGATTTGATACGCACAATTAAACACGATTGTTTCTTTGTAATTTATTATGTATACGCTTGGAGTATATTAAATACCGAAATAATACGAGGACTGTTTATTCGTTCGCTCCTACCTGCCTTAGAAGACCTAGGAAAATAGAAATAGGAGAAAAATGTTAGAGTAACTCACGCGACGGGTCGAAACCGGTGACGAAATTTGGACATGGCGTGTACACTGTTGTTCCAGCTGGGGTGTTTGGCCAACAGGACCATCCGTCGAACGTTATTGGACAGTATGGCTCTGAAAGAAGTAGCGAGTGTCGTTAAATGAAAATACATTATAGAAATTATAAATATCTGTGATACCCAGTCTATTTTTTAAATACAATTTACACGGTAATGGTTTTCTTTTTTCAAATTTAATGGAACGAATCTAGACGTACATACATATGTACTTACATATAAGACCGGAATTTCTTGTTCGACTGTGGTACGATTGATTTGATTAAATCGATATCATACAAGATCTAATCAACAATATATATTTTACCAATCGTAGTAACAATTTTCCGAGAAATCATGTTAACAAATCAAACGTCGAAATGTACCTGATGTCTTTCAAATTAAAGTAATTCTAATCGTGCGAGAAAAAGGAATCGGGAATCGCATCTATCCTGAATAATTTCACAGAAATGAAATTACATACTATAAAGTATAAATATAAATGATAATTACAGTTTGAGTATTTTGATTATTACACAAAAATCCCGTACGTAAAAATTATATTCTTTTTAATTTTATAAAGAGAATTCTTGTCGTTTTAAGTTAAAAGTAACGATCCGATTTCAATTTCAATTTCTATGGTAGAGATGGAAAATGAAGTACTTTTTCTTTTTAAACAAAATTACATTTAGTAATAGTATGGTGAGTATTAGTGCCGGAATAAACATTACAAATTAAATATTTTTTAAATGGTATTGTCGTAGAAAAAAGGCAGTAGATCTGTTTTCAATTAAAAGGAAGATATAACACCGGTTGATTCTGCAGTAGAAATATTTACAAAAGTGCAATCGATGCAACGAGGAGAAAATTAGTGCTAAATGTATTAATCGGTAATTTAAGTATTTATTTTCTGAAGCTACTATCCTCGGGAAGTTATGATTTTATTTACAATGCGAGTCATTTTTTTTTTTTGCAATAGCTAGATGTACACCGATTACCCGGATGACGAATATTCGCCGTGTACATGGTAATCAGTTTGGCGAGGAACTTGGTAACTATAAACGCAAGCTGGCTCTTTCGTAGTTCGTTATTGATGCGTTAAATCCAATTTGTTAGGCAGCTCCGCGCAAAATAATAGTGGAAGTTGTGTAGCGCTCTCGTATGGAAACTCGATTAGAAAACAACGTCGATCGATCTTCTCGTCTTAGAAACCGCGATTTACCAGGGCAAGCTTGCCTAAATTCTGTCTCAGGTATTAATCGACCATCGAAATAAAGGTGTTAAACCCACAATCTACTTTACAACTAAATATCGATCTTCATGCGTAAAACGAGAGAATATTCCCTTTGGTAAAGCACATCGGTTGCATTTTACTCGAATTAATAGGACATCGAGGTTTCGAGATCGAATAAATGAGAAAAGCAAGGAACGATCCAACCGGAAATAAACGACTTTTTCCATTGGATTTATTCGGACATTTTCGATCGTGATTCTTCTTGCTCCGACGTTGGATTTCCATTAGGAGAAGAAGAAAAGGAATTATTTCTTCTCGCGGATTACAACGTCGCAACACGGTAATAAATTCACGAAATCGTCGTGTGTGCTCGTTTATTTCTAATACCAATGTTAGTTCTATGCTTGAAATATACAAATAATAATCTTGCACAAGAATCGGACGTAAATGCGATGGAATTATGTATATCAATAAGATTATTTGCAAATTAGTCGATCCGTCGTTAATGCAGTTTTCGGCTAACAAGTTTAATAACACGTTTATGGAAGGATGATGCTTCGGGACTAGAGATGCCAGACGGAGCCTAATTCCACTTTCTCACACTATCCTAGAGTTTCGGAGGGAGAGTCGACAAAGGCAAACTGACGGCCCTCTTTTTCGATTCTCCGAAGTTGCCCGAAATAATTTCGAAGGTGGCTCGTGGTAGTCCAGAGAGGAAGGAAGCATACCATAATAAAAAAATAATTTTGTGAAATTTGTTTACGGAAATACACGTTTTAAGACCCCCCGAATCATATGTTAACCATTGAAAAAACAGAAATTTTTTTTTTTATTATTCCTATGTACGAGCATACATATGTATATTAGTTCAGTTATCGCTTCTGATATACATACATATCTGGCAATGTATAACGATTATTACTGGCTACTGTTTGTCTCTGCCTGCCTCTGCTGACCCTGGTCCTCTTCTCGCCTCTGATGGTCTTTGCGTGCATCTGCTGACACGATACACAGTACATAGGTATAATGTAAAATGAAGGCTGGTAGAGGCTGACAGTAATCAGTAGTAATCGTTAATAAGTTGTCAGAAATATTAGCAGTGGTCAACAGAGGCCTGTAGAAAAATTCAAACGTGAGTCTTTTTTTCTCGACTCCCACGAGCCACCTCCGAAATTATTTCGGGAGAATCGAAAAAGAGGGCACGTGTCAGTTCGCCTTTGTCGACTGTCCGAAACTCTAGGTGCTGACGTACGCGTGATCCGACATAGTGCGAGAAAGTGGAACGAGGTGTCCCCGGTGCACTTTAGGGCTCCGTCAGGCATCTCTGTTCAGGACCTGTCTGTTACGCAACCACGTATCCTTAATTAATGTAAACGTCGCATGTTCCACTTGTAACTTAAATTACACGCGGATGCACTTTCCGTCGCCCGTTCTCCCACAGCCAACAGAAATTACCGGCCGAAGGTTGTTCTAATTAACGTGACTAGAAACCTGATGGTTCGCCACGATGTGACGTTACCCCACGTGGAAATAATGTGCGACGCGGATGCCTCCCGATATTCTTACCCCTGTATCTGGAATTTCCATCCCTACGATATTCCGTTTACGCGAAACGTAACTTGGATTACAATCAATTATATTTCCAACCATTTAACGCACGGTGTCTCAAAGTATACCTTCTTTTTTATCGTTTCCATGCGTGGAATCACGCGTGAAAATGTTTTGTTCCGCAACATTAAAAAAACAATTACGTATTTGTAACACTTGCTACTCCTACGAGACAATGCAAGATTTTTAATATTGATTTGACCAGACACCGCTATTTAAATTTTGATCCGATACAACTGCGTGTATCGCGTGGTCATCGTCTCCTTTTTTTCTTTTTTGAACTAACGGAGCTAACGAAACTCGATCGATCCAAAAGAAACAGTTACGTTCAAATCTCCTTAGCGGCAGGTAAAGCCAAAATAGACATTAAAGGAGAACGAAGAAATATTTTTAGAAGAATATTGTGTGACATCGTGAAGTTACAGAATTTATAAATATATTCCAATTCGTTTTGTTCTCGTGAAAAGTGACTTCCTATCGTCCGGTAATAAACACAATCGAATGTGAGTTTGCTCGACATCCATCGACGATCAAGGCTACCCTTATCCTTCGCAAGGTTTGGAAAAAACCGTAGTTATTAAAAATTATAATGTAAAATTAATTTTCAATCGTTCGAACTTTAAAATAAAAATTAAATCATAATAGTAGTTTATAATATTAAATGGAGATTTTAATTAATATAATTCTTTCCGTTGCTATAGTTTTTTGGTGACATCTACTTCCGTAGTAATAAACAATCACCATTTAATAGATAAATTGTTTAATATATGTTTTAACTTTCACACTCAAGATGAAATAAGAAAATAGGGAGAATAAAAAATTTTAACTTGGATATTATACACAACTATCGTAACTACACTCGTATTTAACAGCTGCAGTCACCTAAAGGAGCTTATGTTAAATGTAATGCAGGTTGATACAGGTTTCCGAAGTACCGATCAAAAGTTTGAAAATTGAACGTCCTGATTTTTGCACTGATTTAATATATGTATATCACGTGTTAACAGAACTATATTTCGTTTTAAGAGTTACTTTGCGAATTAATTCTGATTGTCAATATTGATAAAAAAAAAAAAAAAATTCCACCAAGGATCCGCAGTACGTTTACAGAAAGCAAAGGACTATAAATCTTTATTGGGTGTGGAAATATTTCACCGTTTGAAAGATAAATCTTTGTTCGCGATTTCGAACTTTTTGGTCGACTATTGGGAGCTTTGTAACTCGCGAACCAGCATCAGCCGTATTCCATCCTTTTTCTTTCTTTGACGGGAATTCCACGGTAAGGGATTAATTGGAAAGCAATTCCATGTGTAATCAAGCCGCCCAATAGCGCGTAAATTTATTCTCCAAGAGCGTTCGAAATAATGCAGAAGTTTAAAAAAATTCGTGATCGTTCATACTTTGATTTATACCTACGCGGAACTCTGAAGCAATAGAATTAATAACTCGATTGGCGCGAGCATTCAATGGTGTTATAAATAACAATTTTGTAAATCGTTAAAGTTACAGACGCGTAAAATTGAGTGCTACGGGATGCAACATGTCCAAAGTTGAACATAATTTGAAAAATTACTCCAAAGAGTATCGCATCGATGGAAAACTTGTATCGACGTACAAGAACGACATTTTTAAACGTTGAGCGTATTATGCAATAAGTTTATTACTACATCATTGTCATTGATATTACGTATCAATCAATTAAAAGACGGTAAACACGATATAAATACACAAATAAGAGATAAACGTGATCGACCTTTCATCTTCTGCAATGGAAAATCTTTTGTTACCTATAACTGATTTTTTTACATCGTTCGATCGAATATTTAAATTAAATGTGTTTATTTTAAAATCGTAAAGTTTTGGTTTTTATTGACATTAAAAAACAAGTACGCGGATATAAAGATATAACTTCGACGACTGTTATTAACAATTGCGATATCGATCGCGAATATAACGCCAGAGTTTACAATTCCCGGTCCGGAAACGACGGCAAACGAATATTTTTTGATTTTGTTAGCTTCGTTCAGATACGTGTAAATAAAATAACTGAACTAGGAGAAAAAAGGGGGGTCCGATAATAATTAGCACCGTGAGTAACTTTGGAATCACGCGAGCGAATCTTCGAATAAAAATTGTTTAATGGAAAGAGCGTCATCGTATGATCGTGCCAACTTTTTCATAGATGAAGTCATTTCGGAGATACGAAGGTCGTCTCTTGTGTGTTTTTTTTTTCATTTATTACATCTCACGCTTTTATGTTTATCAGCTGATAGCAGAGCTCTTTTGGCGAGTGCAAAGACCTTTATCACAAGGTCAATCTAGGTCATGGAGGAACGATTATATGTATAATAAACTTACATCTTTTACAGTCCCACGAGACCGTATCGTTCGTATGATACCTAAACGAAGGGATAAGCTTATATCACAATCACATTTTGCTGACAGCGACGCTCGTAACTTTCGATATAATTCAATAATGTCGGGCAACGAATTAAAAATCTGAATGGTGAGTAAGCGATCCTTCGAGCCGGAATTGCAATCCGAGAAAACATTGCACGAGAGCCTCTCTGTACGTAATTTACAACTTCTGCAACCGTTTATACGAGAACCGAGTTAAACGCAACAAATTTGCAGAATTTGATACAATTAAATTAAAAAAAAAAAAACAGAAGGCACGTAATCGTCCAAATGATTAATGAATTTCACCGCCTCCGAATTGTCATTTCAATTCTAACATTGTGCGATTGAATCGAATTAAGCTTGAAATTCGTTTCAATCTCAAACACCAAATTTTGCTGCCTTAATCGCTCAGCTTCTGTTGCTATTAATTAAAACTCTAACTTAAATTTAATGGAATAGGAGTTCCTTCTTCGTTAACGTTTCGAACGAAGGAAGGATCGTTGCTTGAACCCAGAATTGTCGGTCCTAGCGCAGAAAATCTTCTTTGGTAATGTCTGGATCTGAATATTATATTTGAAATAATTGCGGTATTAAAACGTCTTTGTACGTGTGCATCTCTGAAAGTATACATATAATAATTACAGAAGCTACAATATCTTTAAGGGAGCGATTTGTTTTGTTTTCGTTACAGTAGAAAATGGTCTGCAATTTTTATTTAGAGTATCATAGACGCCGTGTATCCTTCCCTTGACATTTTTTCGGAACAAATATCGCACGTATGTTGCTCCGGGTTTAGAAGCCGTTGCTCGCTTTATTGCTAGTGGGAGACGATACAACAGGTACATATATGCCACCGAATGGCCCTCGGAGGACCATTTTCCAGAGATCCCGGGAGACTCAACTCCGTGGAGTTTAAGATCCTTCACGATTCTGTCTTGTCCTTTTAAAGTATCGACGTACCTATTGGAAACTTCTCCCGTATAAAATGGAACAGTCGTTTCTACCTAAAAGCGAGCGTAAAAATTCGTACGGACGTCGTTGTCCACGGAAAGGTGATGGAAAATAAAATTACGAAGCTCGAAAAATGATTTATCCTTTATCTTGCGTGCTCTTTTCTCCAATATTTTCTCTGTTCGAATTTAAATTAAATGTGCGCTCCAAATTATGACCTTCCATAACGAATTTGTTTCTGCATTGAACATTACGTAAACGAGATTTGATCTGTGTCCATTTTAATTATAATACTTTCCTGTGCCTTTCAATATTTGTATCGTTTCGTTTGAAAGTTCTTTAAACGTAAAACGGTAGCTGTTCGTCTATGACACCCTGCGTTTCATTCACGATGAATGTTTCGCTATCTATGGGAGTATACATATTATGTGTCTTGATACCTGAAATAAAGCAGAACCGCGAGAAATTTCCTTGGTTGATAGCGGGCACATCGACCGTGTTGTGTTATCGTGTCCGTTGTCACGTTGCGTTGGATTGTTACGCTGACACGTTGTGAAATGTCATCTTCCTGATATTGGAATGTCACGATACGATAAACGTTTCCCCTTTCCACGAACCCCGATTTTCAAACGCCTGCGACGATAGATCGGTTTTTGAACCACCGCCACGCCTGATCCGGTTCCTTTTCCCCGTCGACGCTTCGTATTTATCGAAACGCGAATATCAGTTCCGGGTTGAGGATAACGAGGTACCATCAACGAGTAGAATGTGAACAAGGTCGAGTATTTTCTATGTAGCCGCGGGCCACGCCATAAAATGTCCGACACGACGAGGCTCGCAATTTTTTATAGGACGAATCCTTTTTCGTCCAAATAGTTTAGCTCTCGCTAAAAAATAATGTGCGTTTAGGGGTGGTTCTAGGAATTTAAATTGGATATCAATGATACTTCATATTTAAATTATTATAATTATATCTAGAAAACAATGGTTACTATCCTTACTAAAATTACTACCATTCTCTTCTCGCTCTAATTTTTTAACGAAAATTACATCGGATAATTAAACTTTAGGAGAATTCTCTTCTCGCGTTGAAGATAAAGATAACATTTGCATAGTCAAGTACCGGAAAAATGCTTCCGTAAACCAAGTGCAAACATTGCGTTTTTGTAATGTAACATGAATTCGTAAATTTGTAAACTTTTTAAATTTTTATCTTACTCGGGAATTACTCGTCTTTGATGCTCGCAAAGATTGCATCGTCGACAAAGCATTCTACAAATGTTAAATTAAAATAATTATTTAAAGAAAACAATTATAGAAATATTCTATATTAGAATTGCACGTGATTAAATATCACCTAAAGATTCGATGAAATATTTTAGTTTTTAAATAGCAATGCGTCAGGGTAAGTATCACTGACTTAAGGTCACTCAACAAAGAAACGAATGTGTCAAAAAATTGTTGTGTCAAACGATAAGACAATTATTACTGTAATGAAACTATTTTCGGAATTGATAATTCGTCTGGACAGATTAAAAACGAATACATGCGTTTACGAACTTCCACGGACAAGGTCCTTTCTTTCCTCAGATATTTCAAATTTCTATACATATAATTACGATAGCCATTCAAGTACACGTATTTGTTATCTTAATTTTGTTATTTTTTAACGGAGTTTCCTCGTGCTTCGTGTCGCGAAATAAGCAACACGTACCCTAGGATACTTTTTTCTCGTGTTTTTTTCACCCGAGAGAGGAAATTACGCCACGCATTAAATCGAAACATTTTATGCTAATTAATGTACTACCGATAATATGTATTTCTCACGGAATCTACTGCAACGATAAGTGAATTATTAATAATGTCCCGGTATTGTACCGAAAATGACGTAATCGTCGATCACGAACGCGTCTCGTGCAACAATTGGAAACGAAAAATACTTTTCGACGCGTCTCTTTAATACGAATTTCGTTGGAAATAATTATACAAATAAAATAATATTATTATAAATATATATCAATATTTACGACGTTGATTACGAACAGGACGATTAAAAAATTTTCTTATAACGCGTCTCTAAAAAATTCTTAATTCGTCTACCTTGTTATTTTCTAAATATTATATATTAATTTCTTTAAACGATATAATCGCGTGCAATCAGTAAAGTCGCTATGTTCAAAAATTTGTCAACGACGGCCACATTTTTGTTGTTTGATACAAAATTATATTTCTCGTCGTTGAACGGTAATTTGAACGTTAATCGTGATTGTGCTCGCGGAAAGAATACAAGGTCGAGCGAGCATTTAATTAAACTTCGAACGGTATTATCGCTGAATTTTTAATGGCGATTGTTAAAAAAAAAAATAAAACGATGCACTTTATTTGCAGTACTCGCTTGCTGCTGCATGCATCGGTCATTATCGATTATCGCATCGAGCATTAGGACGCCAAGCGTTTGTGCTTTTCGTCCTTCCGCGAGGATCACGAAGAAGATCGTTAAACTAACGGAATATATATATATACATATATATATATTTTACGAAAATATTTCAATTTGAAGGCTTCGACTCTAAAGCAACGATACAAAAAAAAAAACAAGTAAATTCAAACGTTCAACTTGACAGAGCTGGCTAATAAATTGAAGCAAATGGCACTGCAAAACTAACTAGGAATGGCGCGAATACGATTGCCGACCGAGATATAATTCTACATATTGGTGCTCCAGGGTTAAAAGAAAAAAAGCTTATCCAACAGATAGTAAGTGTTAGTTTTTAAATAAGGACCGAAATAAAATCCTAATCTGCTCGGATCAATGTCTCTATGAATGATGCAATACCGATTGCACAATGAGTGGCCAGACTGCTAGTTACGCACGTTACAAGTACATTTGAATTGATGAAATAGACGTTCTCAATGAAGTAAAAGTAAGTAACGTTGCCAAGGCGAAACTTTGAACCGAGAAGCCTCCACGATACGAATGCTTGGAAGCTTCAATGAGGAAAAGCGTCGAACAAAAGAATGATTAAAATTTCGCGCCATTACGAAGAATTGGAAGCTGTGATCGAAACTGTCGAGAATACAGAGATTTTTCTAAAAATATTTCTATTTTTGCTGAAAGGCAATTAAGTAAACACGTATGGGGGTGCTGCAATGGTAGACGCTAGAGACTATCGTAATTGTAAAAAGAAAATTCTCTTTCCTAACCGTGTTGTACATATTTAAGAACGAAAGGAGAACATCTTACGGTAAAAATGAAAATTCAGAAAATATAATAGCAAAGGGTGGAAGTAAATTTAATTTAAGAGACAATTAGCTGTGCTGGAAAATACTGATTAGGGCTCGATGGTAAAGGATGAAATATAAGGTTTTTTGCGCAAAATATGAATTGCTAATGATACCAAAAAGTAATCGATGTCTAGAGAATCTGCCACCCCGCCACCGACTGTTTCAGAACAGTTCACCGAGATGACCAGCGCAAAGAGGTTATCCAACTCTGATTGGTTACAAGCGCAAGCTTGCCGAACTTGCTGACTATAAGAGCCAGTCATGGACGAGTCGCGATTCAGTTGGTCCCCGGGGGTAAATTAAGATCTTTGCTTTTAAGTTAACGTCCATTCGCGACGACGCGACGGAGTCTGCGTGGTGCTGGTACCGGTGAAATTTTTTTCAAGTACAAATCGTTCACTTTCCGTCCCCCGAACGAAACCAGTGAAACGGTCCGTTTTTAATTCGAGCCACCTCGCGTAATTGCCGATCGGAAGATTCGAAATCGCTGTGAACTGTAAGCTATACGACGTTCGAGGGATTTATACGTTGAATTAACAGGAGACGAAGGTGACGTGAATCCCGTAAACCAAGTCGAAACCGTAGAACCGTGATTCGGGTGATTCCTCGTGCAACATTTAGTGGAAAACGTAGAATAAACTGTTTCCGTGCGGGACCTCGTTTTCGAGAGGTTCGACATTAAATATTTGTTGCCCGCGCGTGTTCAGAATACAATGTACAGGGTAATGTCGGACAGGGACTTGATTCCAACTACGAAAATAAGTCGAAACAAAAGGAATAACATTTTCCCCGTTTGAAATTTCGTTTACGAGAAGATCGAGTTTGAAAATTGTTTCGTTTACATTTTTATTGTTAGTCTGTATCGGTCGAAAATGTAATCGTGAAAATGTCACGCTAAAGCTATCGTGAACACGTTGACACGGTGAAAGCATTAGGAGTTAGTAATGAGAGCGCAACAACAGGAGCCAAGTATTACAGGCAACGATTTCGAAATCGAACAGGGATTAATTGAGTGCGGTGCATTTCATAATTACCATAAATCCGGTGGTCGTGAAAGACCTGTAAATTTTTATAAAGCAGATCTTAATACCGAATAATAATAAACGTATTTTCAATGCATTTTCAAATTCGATTTTCTCTCAAAACTTTATTTCTTTTCTTCGACTTATTTTTGTACGTAGAATCACCCACTCGTCCAATAACACCCTGTATATTTTGTAAATAATTAATTTATTAGACGAGGAATCGGCGAACGAACGTTCCAAAGTGCAATTCGTTAATTTTTAGGAAACTTTTGTACGTATTTTTTTTAGTAAATACGTACTTCGTCCAATACTTTGAAAACTATTAGTATTTTCGATCGATTAATCGGATTTCAACAGAATAAATTGGTTCACATAATGGATTAAAGGTTAGCGATATTCTTCTGAATTTTTTTGGTAAAATATTAAACGACGTTTGCGAAAATTTGTGTATGAAAACTGAAGATCAAAGTATGGGAACACGAGTTTCTTAGAAATTTTAATTCCACTATTGTAATGTAAATTGTTTTATTTATGGTTTACCCGACTTACAATGGAAGTTTTATTCAATACCTGTGCACGCAGCACAATGTTATTCGAGATATCACCATCCATCGATCATATAGTCCAAGGACTCCACCTTGCACAAAATATACATATCAATACGTTTAAGGAGAATAATTAATGAAAATGTACTAACTTTCGATGGATTATTTGCTGATTACGTAACTGGACTACTCGTTCAAAAATACGCGATCTTCGAGAAATTGAATCACGGATCCTTTTCACGACAACTTTCAGAGTCGTTTTCATCCCTTTGGTACATTGTCGATTTAATCGTTTCGTAAAAAAAACGTCTCAAAAATTACATTAATATTTTGAGAGTAACATTTTCTTGAACTTTTAACTTTTGGTATATCTCACTCGACTTTTTGCCCAAATACCTTGACATTCTCGATGTCGTTTCGTATTTTATCGAACCTTGCAATTTTGCAATTTGCAACTGTCTATAATATTTAGGGAATGCTTTGTGATCCCAAAAACGTTGTAAATATTTCCAAATTTGATCGATTCAGGCGCTTTGAAATTGTACAGAATCAACACAATATAGAACAATCATGGTAGAACTACCCCTAAAGTTGAATTTTCAATGTACGAATAGATAGAGTTTTAACCACCTATTATTGAAACAATTATAGTCTAAACGTGATTTATAGTTTGAGAAAGTTCTATCGTTTGTTCCATCGTATACAAAATGTTCTAATCAATGACATACACGTCTGACAAGAATGTTATCCCAGAGTCTTATCGAGAGACAGGACTATATTTTCACCGAGTGTCTTCAGCAGTGTCAATATCGCGTGCAATTTGCGACAATCTAGATAGGTGTTAGAGCTGTTCCGTGCATCTATTGTTAACGATACGTAAAACGTGGGAGATTGGAACGGAAGACGAGCATCGTAAACGTTGAGACGTTTCTGCGTAGGGTTCCTCGGGAATACGTCTTCGATATCGACAGATTCTGTTTCAATTTCAAGTGTGTTGGATTAAAAACAGGCCACCACGTTACAGTTATACCGCTTCTACGTAGACGTGGTATAGACAGCAGTGTAACTAGGGGAAAGAGGGAGGGGGGGGGAGGGGGGATTTGCCCCGGGCGAAACTTTTGGTCCGCGGCAACGAACAAGTTTTATTTGTTTGTCGGAGAAAAGCGTTCTCCTTTTCGAACAGAATGATTCGAGTTGAAAGAAAAATAACTGATCAAAAAATACAGTTAATTCTTTTCATTTGAAAAGTAGATATCCCGATTTATTCACTTTCCTTGTACGATAGGGTCGTGAAGAATGGCTTCTTGATACAGTGCCATTTGGTCTTTGGTAAACTAAAGATTATCGGTGTATTATAAATTTGGTAAAACACAAGGTTGTACGGTGTAAAGATTCTGAGGGGGAAACGGAACTAAAATCATGATAGGCGCGTGAATAATGTCGTAATAATCGATAACGTAATTTTTCGACAGGCAATTTGGAATAGTGACGATTTATCACCATTTCATCGTTTCATATTATCGTTGATTATTTGTTTTATCAAAAACAATAATTGCACGATCGTGTATGTATCGTTAAATTAACAATTTCCAAGATGTTCGGTTATCAAAATATTAGTACGTTGGACAAAGACTCGAGAATTGAGAATCGAAAACGTTAGATAGTCCAAGAAACATCGATAGTAAGCGTTTGAAACGACTTTGAAAACACATTTGGCAAGCAGTTGTAGTTTTTGCACGCGTGAAAATCATAATCGCATGTTTCTCGACCGAATCAGCTTATCGGTCACCCACGCACGAGCAATGCCCATGACATTCGTACGCGTAACTTTGACTTATGGATATCTCGAAAACGAAACTTTAAATCGCAATTACAATTACAATCACTGTTTCGAATTACCATAGAAATTAGTATAACGTTGCCAGTGTTTTAAAAGTGAAATATGGTATTTGTCACGTTTCATTACCGTCCAAGTAGTATTTATACAGATATTTTTGTTCCATCGCTGTATCGAAAAGCTGTCATTTGGATATTTACCGGTTCCGTTTCTGTTAATTCATCCTTCCTGCAATACCTAATTTCCCAAAGCATTTAACTTCAAGAGACAAACGTATTATTATATTAATTCCTTCCTCGTACCAGTCATACAAGATAATACTATTAGTACTTTTGATCTGAACTGTGTAACGTATTAATTGCATCTAATAATTATCATTTCTATTTAAGATTCCTAATTCCGCTGATTATGAAACTGGCACGTGTTACAATATTACTTTACAGCATATCAGAAAATATGTAAGCGATAAATAACGAGCCTCGTTAATATTATAATTACAACTGGCCCATAACCGGACATTAGATTAGATCTCTTATTCGTGGGTATGAAAAGATAAAAAAATTTAACATAAGACCATTTGTGACCTTGGGTAACTTATACAATGCTTCGATAAACTGATGTAAGATACCCTTGCCAAACCGAATGTCGTAACGTAAACCAACAACAACAACATTTGCATTGTAAGAATGGTAACATCGGAATGTGTTTCAATGAATTATTATTCAAACTTCGATAATATGTTCCCACAGTACTGTAATTTCAATATCATACTTGTATTTATGCAGGAACTTATTTTAATATATTATTAACTGTTCTTCCGTCGTCGATAAGAGTATCAGTTACTGGGTAATCGAATCATTAATTTTTAAGGAACAAAACAAATGCGTCATTTTTCTCCGTACTAAAACGTACATTTATTCAGTAAATTAATAAAATTTCTATATTTATCTAATTGCAAAATGGTGTGATTATAACAAGGGAGAATATTTTAAAGTTTACCAAAGTGGTATTTTTTTTATGTAAAAATGGACATCTCCAAATCGGTTTGAAATTTATTTAGAAACACAACGCGTTGTAACTTGGTTCCTTTTACGACACACTGTACCATTCGACTTGGACGTAACTTTGAACAAATTGACAGCGTAAACTAGTTTTTGGATAAAAAATAATAAAAACGTAACGTTAAACGTTACGCGTTACCGGTGCCTCGGCTTTTATCATGAAAAATGTGGCATTGTAATATATCATTGGCTATAATTATGTTAATAAACTGGATAAAAGTGTTGCTATCTAGCTGTTCGTTCCTGTACACTGTGCAGATAATCATTGGAATTTAAACAGCCCGTATACATATATTGACCAACGAGTGGACAGAATTGTTGATCGAATCATTTCCAAGTGACAGTCGAAGCTCATTGTCAACGAATGACAAGACACGTCTGGACGATGCAATAATTTAATTATCTAATTAACGTTCACCGAATTACCTGGTACAGGCTTGATACATATATCGAATTGTTCTTTAGTTTTTGAAACACAAATCAGAAGAGTGGTTAGGAGTAGAATATTATCGAAGGTGTTTCTACAAGATTATTCTTTTTATAATTTTTATCAAAATCTAGTTATTCAACTTTTATCCAGCAGGTTATATTTATTAATTTGAAGAATTCATCGTTGTTCTTGCGGTATGACGGTGTAACACTTTGAGCATTAAAACGGTGAATAAATATTAAGAATAAAAAGTAATTGTTCCCGATAAGGTTAAAAATATAAAACACGTAAAATTGGCTTGATTTATAAATGTTGTATATCAACAAGTAACTTACTTATTTCAGCAAGTGTCTTAAATCATTCGAAACTAATTGAATACCGCTCGCATCGCTATCTGTAGCTTTCATTGACCCAGAACTAGACAGGCCAATTGGTTTCGTTTCATTGATAAAAGTAGAATGACTTTCATCGTCGCGCGCGATATACTCGCGTAATCTTTCATTAACGTATAATAAAAAATAGGTTATGCAATAGCCGAGACGTATCAAAAGGCGTTAAAAAAATTCATTAATAGCGACGATAAGAGAAAAGTCGCACGGTGTAACGCGTCGAATGAAAACACTGGAATATATTCTTAATCTATAAAGGGAATATTGATGCAGTCGTTTAAAATCGGAATATTTAATTGTTTCGGGTACAGAGGACTAAGGAAGAAAACGACCAAGGAAAATGAGGCATCTGAAGATTTTATTTTTCTTGGTGTTCGCCGTCTCGATACAGCAAATCGAAGGGTACAGAATCCTGTGCCTGTTCCCTTACAGTGGACAAAGCCACCAAAGGATGTTCGAGACTCTGTGCAAAGGACTGGCGACAAAGGGACACCAAATCGACATGATCAGTCACTTTCCATCGAAAACACCGGTCGCTAATTACACGGACGTCGTCGATTTAAGAGGGACAACGAAAAGCGTAGTCAACAGCTTGTCCATCGAGACCGCGAAAAAGTTCAGAGACCCCGTCATATATTATCTGACCAAGGACTTTGGTGCCCCTGTGTGCGATTTAATGGGTTCCGAAGTATTTCAAAATTTCATCAGCAATCCACCCAACGATCCACCCTACGACCTGATCATAACAGAGGTATAAATATACGCTCGATTCGATGTGTAAAAAATGCTTGGTCAACACAGTGATAATATCAGACCTTTGTTGACCAGTAAGTTCATAGGGCTCTCAACGTATAAATAGAAAGTAATTATTTTGTGGTTGGAAATATCTTTGTTCCATGACTTAAAGCTTAGTCCCAATGCGTGGCAATGAAACTTATTTACTATATATTTGATCAAGTATTTTTCATGATCGTTCTTGACTGCTCGCGATGTCACGAGCGAGCTTCTAAATGATTAAATAATTTCTTTATTTACAGTATTTCGGCTCGCCGTGCTATTTAGGAGTTGGCTATCGGCTGAAAACTCCTGTCGCCATCGCTGTATCTTTTCTCGATATGCCTTTCGTCGATGATTTTATGGGCAGCCCCATAAGCTACGCTTTCTTCTCCGGGGGATTCAACGAAAAAACCGTGATAAACACATTTTACGATCGGTTGACGAACTTTCTACAAAGCTTCGTGGATTTGAACAAATTTTATTATTACTCGTCGAGTCACACCGAAATAATGAGGAAGTACCTGGGCCAAGACGTACCCGATGTCAGAGAATTAGAGAAATCCGTGGTCCTGGCTTTGGTGAACGGACATTATAGTATTACTGGCGTCAGACCCTTAACTCCGGGCATCGTGGACGTTGGTGGACTCCACGTCCTCTCTGATAACTCCACATTGACACCGGTAAGTTGGGAATCAAAATCAATAAATTATATCTCTGCTTCCACGCCAATCCCTGGACGATTTTATAACTCGATTATTACTCTGTTTCGTTCGAAATACGTAAAATCATCGCCTCCTGTACTTACACGTTACATTGTATTTTCCTCTGCAACCGAAAATCATTTTTTTAGAACGATTAAAAAATTGTTTTGTTTCTTAGACACCTACTCCCTCCTGTCGATTTTTCTTAAAAATTCGATTTTGATTTTTTAGAAAATTGTTCGTCGTCGTACGTAAATGTTCTTTAACCCTTTGCACTCCTATGTCGAATGTGACTCGAGATATCGTACACTTGAAAATTACAAAATACAACAATAGTGTAAGTAAAACAGATATTTCATTGAATTTGTTTAAATTTAACCCTACTTTTTGTACTTGGAAGTGTTGAAAGCCGCTGGTAACAAAATTCAAATACAATTCGGAGTGCAAAGGGTTAATACTTCTTTACAGGTATTCAGTCACCTGAATTTCAGGTCGGTATGGCAGTCAGATTGAACCACGAAAATCCGTAAGGTGTAAGGTCTGCTTGTATACCTCGTCTGTGATATACGCTCCTCGATCGACACTCAATATCCCGTCGCTTTGTCTAAGGTTTCCCTCCCCTTTCCTTTGACATCTCTTCCACAGGATCCCACAGTTCTATTCGGATTATTTGCGTAGAATTCGTTTAAATGGCGCGTATGTTTCGATCCCTACTCAAAACGATTCGTACCGAATTCTTGAAATTCCAGAAATTCGTCAAGTGTAATTAATCACCCCTTCTCGATGTAGGCATTGAAGTCTTGGTTGGACTCCGCGGAGCATGGTGTGGTGTACTTCACCTTGGGATCGTTGATAAAAATCGAAACATTACCGAAAGACAGGGTGCTGGGCTTGTACGCGTCGTTCGCGAAAATTGCACCGGTGAAAATTCTAATGAAGTCGACCAACACCACGAGACTGCCACCTGGTCTTCCCAGCAACGTGATGACCTTACCTTGGATACCTCAAGTTCCAGTGCTCAGTAAGTCTAACATTACATTTCAAATAACACTTTGTCCATATACATATGTAAACGAGCGAAGAAATTAAAAGACGGATGCAACCTATTCTCCACAGGTCACAAAAATACGCGAGCGTTCATAACCCACGGTGGTCTTATGGGACTCCAGGAAGCGCTCTATTACGGAGTTCCCCTAATTGGAATACCAGTATTCGCTGACCAAATGAGAAACATCGACATCTTGATGAACAAAAACGTTGCAGCAAAGATAAACGACGACGAAATCAACGAACGTACCATGGATGCTGCATTGAACGCCGTTTTATACGATCCAAAATACAAGTGAGCATCCTCCTACTTCTTCCCTAAATCGATGTACATTTAATATTTCCAACCAGTTTAAATAGAATTTTAAATAGAAAGAAAATCTTAACAAATCACGGTAGAATCTTCGTACCGAAACTGGTAAAAACTTCAATTATACACGTTTGAATTTTCTTTTCTATTCCAGGGAATCGGCGACAAGGCTGTCGAAAGTGTTCAGAGATCGGCCATTGAGCCCAATGGACACAGCTACGTATTGGATCGAATACGTGATCAGAAACGGAGTCGAACCGTTGAGATCGCCAGCGATGGACCTGCCATGGTGGAAGCTACACTTGCTCGACGTTTTGGCTTTCCTAGCCCTCTGTTCTTCGCTCGGCGTTTATCTACTAATAGTTCTCTTGAAGATTGTACTGAAGAAACTCCAGAACGACGACGCGAAAAGTACAAAGAAATTCAACTGACGATTCGTCGATTTTTACAAAAAGACTACTTTCAAGAAGATGTGGATCATTTTCGTGAATTCAGAGTATTTTTCTTTTCAAAGGCTCGCAGCCGTCTTCTTCAAGTGTAATTCGAAGATAACATCGAGTCGCGACAAACAATTCACGAATTTTTTATATCGTAATTCATAGAACGTCCAAGTTTTGCCATTTTTATCATTTTTTAGGCTCGTTTTAGTTAGTTACTTTATATTAATTGATTCGTAACTGCTTGCTGCGCGATGGCTCTAATTCGAGAAACGACATGCTTGTTATTATATTTAATCATTCACGCTAAACACGGTCATCTAAGTTCTAAGTAGATGTAAGTATTTTTTCTAATTCACTGTACGCGTCGACAATTTTTAATCCAAGATACGATATAATTTAATTGTTACACGATGCATCGACGAATGTTGCGTATTTCACTCATTGTTAGTAATAAAGTATTCATGATAATAATGTACCAACGACGGTAGTAAAATATTTCACTTTACCGTCAAGTATTTTAAACACGGGTCATTTAATTTACAAAATCATTTGTACAAAATTGATAGAAACTAATATACAATGTACATTGTTAGATTTGAAGATCCAGGAGATAGTTAATTTCTGCAAGCAACGAACGACAAATTTTCCTCGTCGAAATAATATTTGAATGTTGTTCGAGATGTACGAGAAAAGGAATCGGAGAATGTTCTTTTGCAGTATGATTTGCAAACACTGCCGGTCTCGAAGAAATTACGAAACGATGGTACTGCTTGCACAGGCGATGAGATAAACGTTTAAAATGGCTAACGGAACCGCTACACGATCTTAACGACGGGGCTTTTAACTGGATTAACAAACTACCGGAAGTTCATACAAGTATAATTGAATACGGAGCGTACCACGTTTAATTGTATTAAAAATGCGTAAGCGTTTGACAAGTTCTTGAGAAGAATATTAAAGTTTCAAGCCAACCGTGAACTTAATGTTCTCCGTAATGCTTTTACCTCGAGTCGGTATAAACTATGGTACTTTCACAGAGAAGAACTACGACTCCGACCACTGGAAAAATTTTTATCACGGCGAACAAAGTGAAAAATGAAACGTACGAAAGTCCTTTCGTATAAAAAATATAGATTATGACATGGAAAACGTGTTGTTTGTAAAATTGTAAAATTTTCCGTTCTTTTCGTACGTGGATAAATTGCAACGCTGGTTTACAAGCAAGGTGGTATCGATTGAAAATGTTACCGAATTATCGGTAATTGAAAATGTCGGTAAATTAATTCCTCTTAATTGCAGAGCTGAAATTGCTCGAAAAGCAATTAAATTTATTTACAAAGATCCCACGACCGATAGTTTACTTGAAAGATCCGTCAGAGAATTCACTTGGAAGTACATATACACATAGCGGTCGCTGAAATAATATAAAAATAGATTTTAGAAATAATTCTAGCCATAGCTGTACCGATTGTCAAGAAAACTTGTAATTATGCTCTTCTCAACGAGCATCGACTATGGCACGTTGGAGGACGTGACAGTAAAAGAGGTGAAAAAAGTTCTAAGCCTGGAGAAACAAGCTGAAAACGAGCTACATACTTGGAATTTTAAAAAATGGTATCCCACGTATCTAGGACAGCTAATTAATTATGTGTGTGTTAAAAGGAATTCTAACAATGGATTCTTTTCCCTTCGCGGACATTTCAATGAATTTTCTTAAAAGCGACATTTTCTTTTTTATCACGGTGTGCCTGACATCTTAAAAATTAACTGGTAAGTTTAAAAGTGTGAATACGTTAGGAAGAAATGGCTGAAAAATTAAATGCACCATTTCCTTGATTTAAAAAATTTTGCATTTTAAAATTAAAGTCCCTTTGTAATTGTATCGAATTATAATCTCTAAGTATGATAATTTTAGGTCGACCGAACACGCAGTTGAGTCTATACGTATAATGATAACACAAAGTCGAGAAACAAGTAGATAGCATTGCTTGTAACAATCGGTGCAATAATACCGAGAGCCTTGCACAAACATTTACATGCATTATTTGATGTGCAGAATTTATGCCTTGCTCGTTTGTTTCTACTACTGATGAATTACCAGAACTGTCCTTAGATTAGGATTAGGATTCTCGCTAAAAGAGAATTCTTATCAAACAATGAATCGTCAGATTGGATTTCTTTGCCATTGATAAGATCGTTAGCACGAGGCTGAAGATTTGATTTATTTAAATACTGTCAAGCAAGTATGATCAACTTGGAAACAAAGGCATTCCATAGATCAGGCTCCTAGTAGGAAGGATTATCCAGATAATCTGGATATTCGAATGTTCGGAATAATAACAACATGATCCGGATAATTGGAGCAACGAAATGAGAAACGAATACAAAATACTAAAATTTTTATTTAAATCTATTTTAATATCACGCTCGAGAAACTTAAGCCTACGACTGATATTTTTCTCAAAATAGAAATAGAGACGGTTTATAAATTTGTGCATGATCGTTGCAGTTTACGTTATCGAAAATTTCATTTATCCTGCGATTCCTTTTTACATTTTTAAATTGAAGCGTATTTGAAAAATTAATAACAGTTTTATTCGTAAGTGACTCGGAAGAATCGTGATACACGTACACGTAGACATTCGCGAATAACATAATCGCGGTACGTGTTTATTTAATTGCATAGTGGTTAGTGCCTGAAAGGATTATTTGTGGATAGTTGTGGACACTGTGGACAATCGTGGGGCGTGTATAATCGCATGTGGGTGATTTTTGTTCACAACATTGTGTATTGGAACTGGCATTCACCCTTTCTCTGTGAAAATCTCGTCGGGCGAGTTTTGATATGCCCTTCTGGATTTTCATAAGACAGGTTGAATCTTATTCAACGTAAGGTGTTCGCATTCCCATAAGTGGAGAAAAATCTAAGGCTGTCGATAATGTCGGTAAGCAGAATTTTTCATGCTGCGTGAGAACCACTAGCACTCGCCTGCCGCAACCGTCCGCGCGAACGCAACTGTTTACCGGATTGTCATTCTACAGGCGGAACTTTAAACGTTAATAACTTTGCAACGAAGCCTCCATCAACAAATCGGTATTCTTGATTCTCGTCTTATTTTGGCATCTACTATCGCTCATTAAAATTTTTGCTAGAGGTAGCCGAACACCCTGTATACCTAAATGAAGGTTACGGAACATTGTGCCAGTTTTTCTCGAACGGGAAGAGCCACTTGACGATGTTCGATGCTCTCTGGAAAGTATTGGCAAAGAGATACGATTAGCCATTTCCCCGAGAAAAACGCCGATCGCTAATTACACGGACATCGTCGATTCAAGTGGAACTCTGGGAAACGCGGCTAATACCCTAAACGTAGAGATTGGAAAATCATTGGACGGTAAAGTAACGCGTATATGTAATATTGCACCCGGATTCGATGGTGGCTTATGCGAATTAACGGTCCACGAGAGGATGCAACAGTTTATCGGAAACCCGGCCAAAAATCCACCTTACAATTCGGTAATCGCAGAGGTAAATAATGTGCAATATAATAGATTTATACTAAATTTACTAATCTAATATTGCAAACTTAGAAATAGTTTCTTATATTTACTATCTTGGTTCAGTTTGCTACTTGGGATTTGAAATAAATATCGAAGCTAAGTACCGGCTGCTATCGCTACAACTTCCTCCCAAACGCCTAATATCGACGATTTAATGGCTAATCTTGCAAGATATCCCTTTTATTCCGGGGGATCCTACGACAAAGATGTGCTGACCACGTTCTCCGATCGATTATGGAACTTCCTCTCGAGTTGGGAACAAATGTATCAATTCTATCGTCAAACGTCCGCTGAAATCGAGCAGATTTGCCTGACGTTAGACAATCGGAGAGAAATGTGGCGTTAGTTTTGACGAATAGACATCGTAGTATCAGCAGAGGAGTGTACGTGAAAATCTTTCGATCATTCGAATCTAAATTTTCACTTAGCAAGAGGCTATCGTTCTTCTTTCAGACCAACAAATCATAAATATACAATACGTAGTTAAAATCAATTATAATCGTGAAGCGATGTACGAATGATTTACTATCTAAATCGAATATTTTAATATGGAGAAAAGAATTTTTCCAGGCTTCTTTTAACGCGTAGATTCACATACTGCGGTATGGCCAAGTATTTATGAATTATTTTGTATTATAGATGTAACACGCAAGTGCTTGTAAAGTGTAATCTATCGGGTCTGCGTGTCGTGGTTTAGGGATTTGCAGAGATGGTTGGATTCGGCGAACCATGGCTTACAAAGTGTACTTTGCGTCGGGTACACTGATGAACGTTGAAACGTGGCCGCAAAGCACGATACTAAACTTGTACGCGTCGTTCGCGAAAATTTCGCCGGGGAAAGTTCTAATGAAATCAGCAAACGCCACGGAACTACCCGCTGGTCTTCCCGTCAACGTGCTCGCGTCACCTTGGATGCCACAGATTTCGGTGCTCGGTAAGTAAATAAATTCTTAACACCCCAAAACTATTCGTCCCGGCTCTCGAAACATCTCCAACGAACCAAACTTTTGCAAAAACTGATGCGATCGAAAACGCATCGTTTATTATTGATGACGATAAATTGAAAATTCCTACAAGCATTTGAAATCGTTGGTCAGAATGTAACATTTACATTTAAAGAATTTCATTCTTTCAACAATGTAACACCACTTTTCAACATGAAAGCGTTATACGTACTTACATACGTAACTTTAAATGTTTTCATTGTTGTATAGTTGGATTTCAGAATGTATTCAGACTCTGTAAAGATATGAAATTTCTTATGGAACGTAATCGTAAAGTCACCGAGTCCGTGTGTAATGTTTCTTGGTCGAACCGAATAAAATTAACGAACCGCACGACGTATTCTTCGCAGAACATAAAAATACATACAATATACATACATACGTATATCGCCCTTTTGCACGATCCAAAATACAGGTCGGATTAAATATAGGCGTCTATTAAAGAATTATAGAAGCGCCGAAGTAATAGTACTGACAATAAAGAAAATTTAAATGAATATCGTGGATAATTTTCTCGTATCGAAGAGAATGAAATCCTTCTGAAGAATTCACTAAAATCCTGTATGAAAAATCTATTTAATAAGGATCCATTCGAGCTGTGTAAAAAATGATTGCATATTTTATCTAATCTTCTCCAAAACTGAAACAACCGTGTGTCTATCGAGGGTTTTTGCACGCCGCTCTAAAAATCGTTTAAGAGTTCCAGAATATCGAGAATTTTATCTTATCGTTTATCCAATATGCATCAACGTTGAAGCGATCACGTGCGTAGCGATTCGTTTGTTGCGTGAAAACGATTTAGGCGAAATCCGTTTAAATCTTACTCGAAACAACATGAAACAGCTGCCTGCATTGTTACGTATATCAAAATATTATTGGTAAGAATTTCAAATAGAAATGTAACGTGCAAAGTTCTCCAGGGAAATCTGTTCTCCAATTGTTAGGCTCGCTTTTCCAGTTCTAAATACTTGAGAATTCCAAGCGAAACGTCTCGAGTATGTACTCGTTAAACTACAAATCGCTACAAAACTAAGAAACTTCAAACACCGTTTAGCGACCTTGTCAAACTTTTCCAATTTCATTTTACCGAATAGAATTTAATGAGTTTCTTTGTTCTTTTCTTCCGCGCTAGTTTTATCAAATTCTAGGCGTGGCAAGTAGAAATAAGTCATTTCTCTATGTGAGAGCTCGGTGTCTGCGAGATCCGTGAGACACCTCTGGTAGCTCTTCCTGCATGTTTGTTGTGGTTTGTTGAGGACTATAGCTCCTTGGAATCTCTCCCTCTCTCTCTCTCTCTCTCTCTCTCTCTCTCTCTCTCTCTCTCTCTCTCTCTCGTTGTTGTTCGGTTCGTACAACTTTTCGTGTTTGTCCCTCGATTGTATGCGAAATGTCGCGCCTTGTATCCTAATGCAAGAATCCAGCCACATCCAATTAGAACCTTTTTCGTTCAGGACTGGTGCGCTGCTACTT